TCCGTCCAGGCCTGAGGACAAATTGGCAACATCAAATGGTTTTGTGATGAATAAGCCATTTGATTCGATGAAAGATGGAGTTGAATTAATCTTTCTGCCCATAATTGAATTTAAAGTACACAAAAGTTAATTTTTTCCATCGTTCTTTATATCATTGATCTTGGCTTCATAATACAGTTTCTTCTTCTTTTTGTTGAGTTTAGTCACATAATTTCTCAATTTGCAGTAAATCGCCAGTCAGATGTGCAGCCAGACTTATTAGCCACTAATTTTGCCCCCTCTCTTTCAACCATACAGTTTTTCAATTCCTCATCAAGCCATGGAGCCTTACCAGTTATAACAGCCAGTTTCCTAACAGGTGCATGTTTATCAATAATTGGAAGAAGCAATTTCATAAATGCATCAAGTGCAGCTTCTGGATGCTGCTTATTAATCACATCAGACCAACAAATATCTGTAACATCATCCACATATGAGTCACAGCAATATCTTTTGAATGATCCCTTATACACTATTTTAGGCCCAGCATTTGGAACTATGGCTTTCCTGGATAAAGCCACTATATTGTCATCACTGCATCCAATGGGTACGGATACAGCTAAACTCCATAGAGTCAGAATTAATAAGTATGTAATGAACTGGGCTTGATACCACTAAGCTCTACATTACTCATTATGCACAAGCTATTACGTCACCAAACAACTCTAACAACACTTTTGTTTCCACCGTCTAAACTCATTTCACTGAACAAGAGTCAACATTTACCACTAGACAATTCTTCCCGTAAAAAACAACCATGTTCACCATTTCAAATACAATAACATTTCTCCAAATACACCAAGCACAACATAAACAATACTCCTGCCCATATGGAGTGACACAGGAGTATTTCAGTAGGGCTAGTGAGGAGAAAAAACAGGAAAAAACAGTTCAATGGAATAATGGGCCAAAAGAAACGTCAAGAAAGAGAGTTGGTATGGGGGGGGGGTAGAAAGAGAGCAGATTGCTGGACTTAATACGTATGTGAGTGGATATAAAAGGTGATATTGTGATCTTGGGATGAGGGGGTGGGGTCCTACCCCCAGAGCTCTGAGTTACTAGGGTGTCAGAGTTAAAGAGATTGTAATGGGCTCTGGGTGCTGTTCTGTTTACCCTGGCCCCCCTCCTCACGCCCACTGCTTTGGGGAAGTTGGCCAGATTTGAGGCTCCCACAATGGGGCGAGTGGAGGGACAGATGGGGGTCTCTTTGGAGCCAGGGCACAAAAAGAAGGCAAGGTAGGAGGGCCCGGAGAGAGGGGGGACTCAAAGGGAGTTTTCTCTCTATTATGCAAGGAGTCACGTAGCGTAGGCTAAGCCAAGTGTTCCCTTGGTCTGCTTGTGTTGTCCTGTCTAGTCCTGTCCGGAGCAGAGAGCTCATGGGGGTCATGGAACTGTCCTCCAGGGTCAAGGCCACTGTGTCCCTTTGAGCTTTCTTGTTACATACGCTGTTGATTCTCTGGCCAATCGATGTTGGTCGCTGATAAGTATTCCAAACGGCTGGGTGAGCTTTCTTGAGGCCCTTTATCTGCTCTACTTTACTCTGACTTAAAAGGGATAGGTAAAGTTAGTTTGAGAGAACATTCAATGGGTGAATTAAGTTGTACTCTGAACATAAGTGATTAATTCGATGTGTTTTGTGAGTGAAACCAGAGCTGTATGGGAGCAGTGCACCAGGGAACCCATGGTGATGGATGAAGAAGAGGGGAAGGAGGAGGAAAGGAGAGGAGGAGAAGCGCCGGGAGAGGGTAGAGTAGGACTGTAGAGTGATGTGTAGTATTGGGAGAGGGTAGAGTAGAACTGGGAGAGGGTAGAATTAGGACTGGGAAGAGGGTAGAGTAGGACTGGAGAGGGTAGAAGTAGGACTGGGAGAGTTTAGGGTAGAGTAGGACTGGGAGGGGTAGAGAGTGGGAGAGGTTAGGTAGAGTAGGGACTGGAGGTGATGGTAGTAGTGGAGAGGTAGAGTAGACTGCGAGAGGGTAGAGTAGTGACTGGGAGGGAGGTAGAGTGGGAGGGGTAGGGAGTGTAGAGTAGGACTGGGAGAGGGTAGAGTAGGACTGTGAGAGGGTAAGAGTAGGACTGGAGAGGGTAGAGTAGGGACTGGGGAGGGTAGAGTAGGATCTGGGAGAGGGTAGTAGAGAGGTGGGAGGAGTGGGTAGTGAGTAGGAGGGAGAGGTGTATAGGAGTGATGGGAGAGGGTAGAGTAGGACTGGGAGAGGGTAGAGTAGGACTGGGAGAGGGTAGAGTAGGACTGGGAGAGGGTAGAGTAGGACTGGGAGAGGGTAGAGGTAGGACTGGGAGAGGGTAGAGTAGGACTGGGAGAGGGATGGTAGGAGTGGGAGAGGGTAGAGTAGATGGGAGAGGTATTGTAGAGTAGGACTGGGAGAGGGATGGTAGGAGTGGGGAGGGTTTGTAGTAGTAGGAACTGTAGAGTAGAGTAGGACTGAGGGTATGATTAGGAGGAGAGGTAAGGAAGTGACTGGAGAGAGGGTTAGAGAGTAGGACTGGGAGAGTGGTAAGTTGAGAGTAGGTCAAGTAGGACTGGGAGAGGTTTAGATAGGATCTGGAATAGATGTAGGACTGGGAAGGGTGTAGAGTGGGAAGGGTAGAGTAGATGGGCACGTTAGAGTCATGAACTGGGCGGTATAGATTAGATGGGAGGTTCAGCCTCAGGTTGTAAACTTTCTGTTGATAACATCTGTCCGTCTGTCCATCTGCCACTTTCACAACACTGTTTACATACAGGAGAACACTAGTTAGTTTAGTAGAGCCTGGTCAATTAGAGAGGAAACCCAATAGTGGTAACTTTAAAACTACAGAAGAAGCAAATAGTGGACATTTAAAAAAACTTTTATATAGACTAGAGATCATATAATAACTGATTCAACTGTTGTGGAAAGTGCTTTGCTGTTCATATTATTTAGAAATGTAATTTCTACATTATAAATAGCTTCCTTGAACCTCTCCCGGTTATAGTGGAATTGATGAGAGTTCTCAGAGATAATATAACATCTGTGCAAAAGATCACAATGGTCATCAACTGTCGTCATTTTCTGCACACTTTAATTAATTACTGGATTGGTTTAATAACTGGAATGTTTAAGCCCTGATTAAGGTTACATTAGCCATAACTGTAAGCAAATTATATATGATCTCTATGATATATGCATGTATCTAAATACCTAACTCCTCTCACCTATTAAACAGGGTTCATAAGTGCTGGTTGAGCAATACTGACATCTAGTAGTATGTGCAGGTAACTGCATTGTGTGCAATGGATCAAACGAACAAGCAGAGAAAAAGCAATTACATACTCTCACAATCGACAGGATGACAGTCAACTCCATGTATCATAGAAGCTACTTCCATGCGTCATATAAAATACATTTTTAGTAAATTAACTTATATCGGAATCCTACAAATACTTTTTTTCTCAAATTACTTTAAATAAGAGTCACATCAAAAGTTAAATGTTCAATTTATATTACATGATTAGGTGGCCTAAACACCTTGCTGAACACAAAATGATTAATTAGTACCATATTCATGTTTGATACATTATCTGCTTATCCTATGGAATAATACACAGCCAGTTTCAGGATTAATCATCCACACAGGGGTGAACTTGCACTTCCACTGAGCACAGTGTTTTTGAGAGCATCTAAATTGGGCACAAATCTATGGTCGGTTTGACACAATGCCTTTTCACACCCCCAGTATTCCATTGAATACTATACTGTAGATGGAGAGAGAGAAAGAGAGAGAGAGAGAGACACACACACACAGAAACAGAGAAAGAGAAACACACAGGGAGACACAGAGAGAGAGAGAAAGAGAGAGAGAGAGAGAGAGAGAGAGAGAGAGAGAGAGAGAGAGAGAGAGAGAGAGAGAGAGAGAGAGAGAGAGAGAGAGAGAGAGAGAGAGAGACCTCAGTTTCTCCGCATGGCATCGGTGTCAGATTTTAGAATCACTACAGGAACCACAGGAAGGAAGGACGAGGGAGAAAATATCTGTGGAATAAATAGAACATCTATTGTTCAAGATTCCAAAATAGAACATTCTGTTATTAGCTTACTGGCTGTATCAAGTCTTATTTTATACACAAATAGACACACACAAACAACATACACAAACCCCTTCAAAATATAATTAGCGGCAGGTGTATTGGTGATGTGTGTAATAATAATTGAATATTGAGCTCACTTATACAAACAAGCATACTCACTGACTCACCCACACATGCGCCTGCTTTTCTGACCCACATAAAGCATGTGCTTGGAGTCATACAGCTTGGCTTTCTCTCTCTAGCTGCACCCCCTCCTCATTCTACTCTCCCTCTTATCTCCACTCCTACGCCTCACCTCAGCCTCAGCCTCAGCTTCAGCCTCAGCTTCAGCTTCAGCCTCACTCACATGTTCTTCTCTTCTATACAACCACCTCTGCCGGATCTTTCCATATCTCTCTCACACTCTTGCTCTCTCTCTCTCTCTATAGCTCTCTTTCTCTCTCTGTCTCCATCTCTCTCCACTATCTCCCTATCTATATTGATCTCTATCTATCTATCTATCTATCTATCTATCTATCTATCTATCTATCTATCTATCTATCTATCTATCTATCTATCTATCTATCTATCTATCTATCTATCTATCTATCTATCTATCTATCTATCTATCTATCTATCTATCTATCTATCTATCTATCTATCTATCTATCTATCTATCTATCTATCTATCTATCTATCTATCTATCTATCTATCTATCTATCTATCTATCTATCTATCTATCTATCTATCTATCTATCTATCTATCTATCTATCTATCTCTCTCTCTCTCTCTCTCTCTCTCTCTCTCTCTCTCTCTCTCTTTGTGCATCCACTCTTCTCAGCATCCACATTAGTAACCACCAGCAGAGTAAAAAACAGAGAGAGGACGATAGAAGAGCACTGTTCCGGACTCCAGGAATGGCCCCTAAAAGAGAACCGTCCATTAAGAAGTCTCCATCGCCTGTAGCCCAGCAGCCCAGACTGGGGCCTCCATTCCCCTGCCTGCCCTCAGCTAACCCTGCCCAGCCAAGGTCAGCTCCAGAGCAGAAACCCAGGATGCTGCGACCCTCTGACTCTCCATTTGACCCCAGCACCATGGAGGTGAGTGGAGGTGCTTGCCACAGCACCCAACTCTCTCTCTCTCTCTGTGTGTGTGTGTGTGTGTGTGTATGTGTGTGTGTGTGTGTGTGTGCATGTGTGTGTGCAGCATTGGCAGGGCTAATGTGGGACGCAGGCTTAAAAATACAAGACAGAATGACTAATATGGCTTTATTAGGGTGTGCTGAAAATGCTCCCATCTTATAATAGACTGAAAAGCAGGCAAAGTGATAGCCTGTATCTTGAGATGCAAACAATCAATCCATTTTGAAAATATGCACTTTATTACTATTGTTTTGTCATAGGAAATTTTAAAGCTACAAAGCATCTCAAATCATGTTTCTCAATATTATGATGTGCTTACAAAACGGATGACACAAATCCTCTTTCAAATCCTCTTCCTATTGTTTTATCAGAGACTAATAGGAACCAAATTACCAGTATCATTCTGGGATAAAGGTGAGTTGAAAACTAGGGCACCGCTATAGAAGCTGTCAGTGACTGACTGACCTCCTCTGGGAGGAGGGAGTGTGCTCATTTCTCTACAGGAGACGTTCAGATTGAACCTTCCGCATTTTCATATGTATATCCTGAGAGGAAGATTATAAAAAGGTTTGGTTAGAAATGTAAAATCACAGATTGGTAGGGCTATATTTAGTCACCCACATTAGCACTGTCACTCTGTTGTGAAACGTCCATAGCTTCGCTCTCATCAATGCTACTTACTTTGCTATAGAATTAGTCAGTGCTTGACTTGGACTGAAACTGGTGCCGGTACTCATTTTGTTTATATTTAGGTACAGGAGCTCCACTACTTTTGAGCTAATATTCTATTAGAGGAAAATGAGCTCAAGCAGCAGAAAATGTGAGGTGCCAGTACTCAGCTCCGGTGAGATTCGGCCCAAGTCATCCACTGGAATTAGTGTTCTGCTGCATGTGTCTGTGTTGGGAGAGTTTATAAAGGGGTCAATAAACCCCTAGACTATATACACCCCTTGGCACTTCGTCCTCATTGATCAAAGAACTAGACAGGTTGTGGCCCATATATCTGTTCGACTAGGTATGCAACTCAATGAGATAATCGCTGGACCTAAGGAATCCAACACCATTTTTGTCACAGGCCAAAATTAAACACAACTGTAGTGTAGCTTGGCCTATAACAGTTTCCAACAGTGTTACCATGGACAGGGGCCAGGGCACGGGCCACTGCTACCCTGCCCTGTCCATGGTTATGCGTACTGCGCAGATGCAGAAAAGAGCTATGACGCGCAAGTAAACACTTCTGGGGCTGTGCTAGTACAATGTTGCTTTCAAGACAACTGGGAACTCGGATAAATCAGATGTAAAATCATGACGTCAGTGATCTTCAGGACGGAAAGTGGGAGCGCTAGAAAGAGGCCCGAGTTCCTGACTAGGAAATCCCGAGTTAGATGACCAGTCTAAACGATTTTTCCCAGTCCAATATCGTTTGTTTCCGAGTTCACAGTTGTCATGAATGCACATGAAGTCGGAATTCAGAGATCTCCGAGTTCCCAGTTGTTTTTAACGCGGCATTAGTTGGGCTTTCCCTCACCTCCGACCAGATTCATTCCTCCACCTCCGGATATCTTCGACACAGCCACAGATATGGTGGGTTCTTCAATAACCTGGATTAAATAGATAGCTATCTAGCTTGCTACTCGAAATGGTATTCTTATTTGGGAATTGTGTGTCGAACTAGATAACAGGTTGTTAACTTTACTTGCTAGCTAGCCAGTTTGCTTGAGCAGAGCCAGCTAGCAAGTTATCGTAGCTAGATAACGTTAGTTGCTTAACAGTACTCGCCAGTACTGTATAGTAGCAACCCTAACTCCTTGATATACGTTGTCATACCAGTAACTATATTTGCCACTGTCTCCAAATGTCGCCCGGATGTTAGTCTTTTTCTTACTGACTAGTAACTAGTTCCTAGCTAGGTAAGGTGATATAAAGTTGTCTGGCTAGTTAGCTAACATTAGTTAGCTGGGTTAACTAGCCAGCCACTGCCTGGTCCTTGCCCACAGGGTTTAACAACATCATAGCTAACTTAATCTTTCTTTGAACAGTCCGACTTCTCAGAAGATCAAATCATGGGTGAGTTACAAACTAGTTAACTAGATTAGCTAGCTAACTACTGTAGCTAGTTAATTTCCAAAAACGTTAACTATACCAACTCTTGCATGCTGCGGTCCTCAACTCAGAGACCGATGCAACTTTCCTTTTCTTCCTTGCTCGTCTGACGTTTTCCTTTTCTAGTTATCATACGCTTTATGCTTTGTCTGTCATTCCTCTATAGTAGCAAAATTACCACTCTTTTCTTTCTGTCCTTGCTTTTTTCTCACTCCATATGCAACTGGTTGTTCTTTCCAGATTGAGTTTAACCTGGATCAAATACACGGTGAGTTATTGGTGAAGGACCCTAACATTTGGCCCTTGAGTCTGGGACCTTAATTAACAGTGTTTAACGGCATGTTGTTGGTCTGATACGGTTGCGATAGGCACACCATGGATGTTAGCCTACAAGTACAGTGTCACTGGTATATTTCATGACACTCAGTGAGCATAACCTATTATTTTAGCCCATTGTGTCATGTCTATTTCCTGTTTTTACTGTCAATAGTTGGGATTAAACTAGCTATAAACAGACTTTCTATCTATGTTAGTAAGCTCCGGTCTAGTATGTGAGGTAGTAATCGGCTCCTCGTGTGTGTTGGTGCATTTCTATAGACAGAGAATCCACCTTTTGCATACCATATGCTAGTTAGTAGTGTGTTTGCATCAAACTGTATGCATTCCCAATTGTCCCATTCCCATGTACCATAAAAGTTTCCATGCGATCTAAACTAGCTTGTCATCTCCCCTGGAGAGTTCCCTTTCCTTTTGTGGAGTTAGAAACAGACTAGTAGATTGGTCTTCTCTGCTCCCTGGCTTGTTTAATCATTGTTGGCATAATACAGCTCTCCCTCCCACTCTCCTCCACTACCTTATATGGTGTTGGGAAATGGAACTCAGCGGGCCAGGAGTGAAGAGGGAGGCACATTCCTGAGAACAGGAAAAAGTTCCACAACAGACTAGTGTTGTCTGCCTACTAGAGTTCCGAAGGGATATCCCATAGACCTACTCTGAAGGGTTGCGATCAATCCATTTAAATTCAGTTCATTTGGGAAATAGGCTATATTGAAATGTATCACTTTTTTAAAGGGTGCCATTTAAGGTGTCAACACCCCCCCCCCCCCCCAGCTAGTCCCTGAACTCAATTAAACTAAACAATAGACCCAATTATCCTGGGTAGACACGTTCAGTGAGATGCCACAGCAGTGTGTGTGCTAGCTAAGCAGTTATTTTAGCAAAAAATATGTGACGTGATACACATTATCAGTTGTTGGGCTATAGACTGACTGGTGCGGGGCGGCAGGTAGCTTAGTGGGTAAGAGCGTTGTGCCAGTAACCGAAAGGTCGCTGGTTCTAATCCCCGAGCCGACTAGGTGAAAAATCTGTCGATGTGCCCTAAAGCAAGGCACTTAACCCTAATTGCTCCTGTAAGTCGCTCTGGATAAGAGCGTCTGCTAAATCACTAAAATGTAAATGTAAATGGTGCTCATTTTTTTCCCAGCAGTTTCTAGCATGTTTGCATTTTCCCCCCTCTTTTTTTTTTTTTCCCCTCCTAGCATGTAACATCTTCTTTTACACACTCACTCATTTCGTTTCCCCTCCAATCCTCACCTCACTCTCATTGGAGAAGAGGATCCAATGACCCTCCATTGGCCTTCCTCCAATGAGCAGTGAGAGGGAGGTGAGGCATTGAGGAAAAAGGATGGTCAGACAGACAGTCACCCGTCCCTCTCTCTCCCTCCTCCAGAGTTTAAGGAGGCCTTCCTCCTCTTCGACAGAACCGGGGATGGGAAGATCAGCTACAGTCAGTGTGGTGATGTCATGAGGGCGTTGGGACAGAACCCTGTCAACGCTGAGGTCCTCAAGGTCCTGGGCAACCCCAAGGCTGAAGGTGAGGTTGAGATACAATTAGGCTTGGGAGGTAGACCGTGTACCGTTGAAACTATTTATTTGACGTTTTTCAAAGCATTTAAATATTTGTAGCTAATTTTTAAGTAAATACCTGCAGTTAGGAGATAAAGCAGATTGCTTTCTCCATTTCCCCGTCACATTATTTGACATTATGAAGCTTACCATAGGTCCCCAGAACAGTTGAGCCAGTCACGTGTTTGTTTGTAAATAGCACAACGGGAGAAAGCGGTGGCAGGTAAGTCCAGTCAAGGGTCGCTTTTATATTGAAAGTCAAGTGTTTTTTTTAGCTTCAATAGAGTGATCAGGGACGTATAACTATAGTTTTCCTTCACAGAAAATACATCAGTGCAACACATTTGGCAGGAAATATCTTAATTGTCATCAGATTACAACAGAAGTGCAACGCTATTTGGCTAGCACGTAAATGAGCTTACAATGAAAAAGCAAGGTATTTCTTTGCAAAAACGATGCATTGCCATAATATTTATAATGTGTATCTTAGAAACTACAACTACATTTCTTAATGTTTTGCTTAAAGTTCATCTTGCATTTTACTGGAGAAAAGTAGAATGCCCTTTGGTAAATTCTCATCCAAGTGGAGAAGTGCAACTGAAGCACAAAATGTGACTGATGCCGAGCAGAAATTACAATAAGCATTTTACATCTACAAAACGCAGCAAGATATATCTTATGTGTCGTATCTTTTTCCCCTGTGAAAAACGAAGAATTCTGCATTAACGCGACCTCTAAATTGAACTTGCTAGTTATCTAAGTAAGTGGCTGAATTAATAAGGTGACAGGGCAACATATTGTGTTAAATTTCTGCTGTGTTTGAGAAGTCAAAGCCCTTTGGATTATTTATCTATACAGCTGCCACTGCAGCTTGATTTCCTTGCATTTTTTTCTCCTCTGTTCTCAGTGCAGACAGGCCCGTTGCCCTAGCGACTCCAGACTCCACACAGACACAGCGTGTACACATGCTGCTCCAGAACCCGTACTGTTCTTTCCTCAGACAAGCATGTGTCAGAACCTTGTTCATTTGCACAATGGCTCTCGTTCACATTGCTTGTAATTGTCCAGAATCACCAAACATGACATTCGGTAGCTCCTACCTACAGTGGGGAGAACAAGTATTTGATACACTGCCGATTTTGCAGGTTTTCCTACTTACAAAGCATGTAGAGGTCTGTCATTTTTATCATAGGTCCACTTCAACTGTGAGAGACGGAATCTAAAACAAAAATCCAGAAAATCACATTGTATGATTTTAAAGTAATTAATTAGCATTTTATTGCATGACATACAGTGAGGGGAAAAAAGTATTTGATCCTCTGCTGATTTTGTATGTTTGTCCACTGACAAAGACATGATCAGTCTGTAAGTGTTTGATCACCTACCAACCAGTAAGAATTCCGGCTCTCACAGACCTGTTAGTTTTTCTTTAATAATAATAATAATATGCCATTTAGCAGACGCTTTTATCCAAAGCGACTTACAGTCATGCGTGCATACATTTTTGTGTATGGGTGGTCCCGGGGATCGAACCCACTACCTTGGCGTTACAAGCGCCGTGCTCTACCAGTTGAGCTACAGAGGACCACATAATTTGCATTTTATTGCATGACATAAGTATTTGATCACCTACCAACCTGTAAGAATTCCGGCTCTCACAGACCTGTTAGTTTTTCTTTAAGAAGCACTCCTGTTCTCCACTCATTACCTGTATTAACTGCACCTGTTTGAACTCGTTACCTGTATAAAAGACACCTGTCCACACACTCAATCAAACAGACTCCAACCTCTCCACAATGGCCAAGACCAGAGAACTGTGTAAGGACATCAGGGATAAAATTGTAGACCTGCACAAGGCTGGGATGGGCTATAGGACAATAGGCAAGCAGCTTGGTGAGAAGGCAACAACTGTTGGCGCAATTATTAGAAAATGGAAGAAGTTCAAGATGACGGTCAATCACCCTCGGTCTGAGGCGCCATGCAAGATCTCACCTCGTGGGGCATCAATGATAAATAATAATAATAATAATATGCCTTTTAGCAGACGCTTTTATCCAAAGCGACTTACAGTCATGCGTGCATACATTTTTTTTGTGTATGGGTGGTCCCGGGGATCGAACCCACTACCTTGGCGTTACAAGCGCCGTGCTCTACCAGCTGAGCTACAGAGGACCACTAATCATGAGGATGTTGAGGGATCAGCCCAGAACTACACAGCAGGACCTGGTCAATGACCTGAAGAGAGCTGGGACCACAGTCTCAAAGAAAACCATTAGTAACAGACTACGCCGTCATGGATTAAAATCCTGCAGCTCACGCAAGGTCCCCCTGCTCAAGCCAGCGCATGGCCAGGCCCGTCTGAAGTTTGCCAATGACCATCTGGATGATCCAGTGGAGGAATGGGAGAAGGTCATGTGGTCTGATGAGACAAAAATAGAGCTTTTTGGTCTAAACTCCACTCGCCGTGTTTGGACGAAGAAGGATGAGTACAACCCCAAGAACACCATCCCAACCATGAAGCATGGAGGTGGAAACATCATTCTTTGGGGATGCTTTTTTGCAAAGGGGACAGGATGACTGCACCATATTGAGGGAGGATGGATGGGGCCATGTATCGCGAGATCTTGGCCAACAACCTCCTTCCCTCAGTAAGAGCATTGAAGAGGGGTGTGGGCTCAGTGAACACCGAACACAGCCAGGCAACTAGGGTGGTCGTTCTCAGGCGATGACTACCAAGAAACCCGTCATGCACCCTCCACGTTCATGCCCTGTGAGGGGGGTTTGAATTGGGGGGCATTGTCCTGTCCCCTTAGCAGAAAAACCCCCAAAGCATAATGTTTCCACCTCCATGTTTGATGGTGGGGTGGTGTTCTTGGGGTCATAGGCAGCATTCCTCTCCTCCAAACACGGCGAGTTGAGTTGATGCCAAAGACCTCGATTTTGTCTCATCTGACCACAACACTTTCACCCAGTTCTCCTCTGAATCATTCAGATGTTCATTGGCAAACTTTAGACGGGCCTGTATATGTGCTTTCTTGAGCAGGGGGACCTTGCGGGCGCTGCAGGATGTCAGTCCTTCACGACCTAGTGTGTTACCAATTGTTTTCTTGGTGACTATGGTCCCAGCTGCCTTGAGATCATTGACAAGATCCTCCCGTGTAGTTCTGGGCTGATTCCTCACCGTTCTCATGATCATTGCAACTCCACGAGGTGAGATCTTGCATGGAGCCCCAGGCCGAGGGAGATTGACAGTTCTTTTGTGTTTCTTCCATTTGCGAATAATCGCACCAACTGTTATCACCTTCTCACCAAGCTGCTTGGCGATGGTCTTGTAACCCATTCCAGCCTTGTGTAGGTCTACAATCTTGTCCCTGACATCTTTGGAGAGCTCTTTGGTCTTGGCCATAGTGGAGAGTTTGGAATCTGATTGATTGCTTCTGTGGACAGGTGTCTTTTTATACAGGTAACAAGCTGAGATTAGGAGCACTCCCTTTAAGAGTGTGCTCCTAATCTCAGCTTGTTACCTGTATAAAAGACACATGGGAGCCAGAAATCTTTCTGATTGAAAGGGGTCAAATACTTATTTCCCTCATTAAAATGCAAATCAATTTATAGCATTTTTGACATGTGTTTTTCTGGATTTTGTTGTTGTTATTTTGTCTCTCACTGTTCAATTAAACCTACCATAAAATTATAGACTGATCATTTCTTTGTCAGTGGGAAAATGTAAAAAATCAGCAGGGGATCAAATACTTTTTTCCCTCACTGTAAGTGTTTGATCACCTACCAACCAGTAAGAATTCCGGCTCTCACAGACCTGTTAGTTTTTCTTTAATAATAATAATAATATGCCATTTAGCAGACGCTTTTATCCAAAGCGACTTACAGTCATGCGTGCATACATTTTTGTGTATGGGTCGTCCCGGGGATCGAACCCACTACCTTGGCGTACAACCTCCTTCCCTCAGTAAGAGCATTGAAGATGGGTCGTGGCTGGGTCTTCCAGCATGACAACGACCCGAAACACACAGCCAGGGCAACTAAGGAGTGGCTCCGTAAGAAGCATCTCAAGGTCCTGGAGTGGCCTAGCCAGTCTCCAGACCTGAACCCAATAGAAAATCTTTGGAGGGAGCTGAAAGTCCGTATTGCCCAGTGACAGCCCCGAAACCTGAAGGATCTGGAGAAGGTATGGAGGAGTGGGCCAAAATCCCTGCTGCAGTGTGTGCAAACCTAGTCAAGACCTACAGGAAACGTATGATCTCTGTAATTGCAAACAAAGGTTTGTGTACCAAATATTAAGTTCTGCTTTTCTGATGTATCAAATACTTATGTCATGCAATAAAATGCAAATTAATTACTTAAAAATCATACAATGTGATTTTCTGGATTTTTGTTTTAGATTCCGTCTCTCACAGTTGAAGTGTACCTATGATAAAAATTACAGACCTATACATGCTTTAAGTAGGAAAACCTGCAAAATCGGCAGTGTATCAAATACTTGTTCTCCCCAATGTATATACAGCGGTGGAAAAAATTAAGAGACCACTGCAAAATTTTCTTAAATCAGCATCTCTACATGTATGACAGCCATTCCATTACAGTGTCTATTGAATTCCAACACAGGCACACCTCATTCTCCTGAATTAGGTACCGATTAGGCGATCACATGAACCAAATCTTATTTAACGAGAAAAAGTATAAAAACCACTGCTGTGGTCATCACTATCCTCTTGCAATAGGACCAGCTGGATGGCATAAACAGTGCTAAAAGTACCTCAAAAGTAATATTAATTTTTAAAAAATACTATTGACCAAGCCAAAAGAGTTGAAAAGGAAAGTTTTGAGTGAGGAAAGGAAGGGTTCAATTCTGGCTTTACTGGCAGAGGGATACAGTGAGCGTCAGGTTGCTTCCATCCTTAAAATTTCAAAGACGGCGCTTCATA